AGTAGTTGCCAATCAATATCATAAGACCTCATTTAATCCTCTTAACATCCTAGGGGAAGTAGTTTACAGATGAAGAAACTGGTCTGAAGTCACACAGCAGCTCCCCAATGGCAGAGGCGGAATTCGACTCCGTGCTTGTACTGGACAATATGACCATTCCCCCTATTAGCCTGCCTCCTTTGCTTTCACCTGGATCTGGGCATCCTAGGATGCTACAGCAAGAGCTACCCTCAAAGCTCTCGCAGGCACCAGCAGATAGATGACAAGTTACAGCTTGAGACAGCTGAAGGCATTCCCCTTGATGAGTTGTTTTCATTTAGCAAAAATAGCCCCTTAATCTTAAGCAGACTCCCAACCTGAAATTCCCTTTGGGCAATGATATTCATGAAAGAATGAAGTGGGATCACTCTCTAACTCCATGCACAAAACCAAATTCCAAATGGGTTAAAGATTTAGGTATAAAACCTGCAAATAGTAAAATATATAAAATATATAGAAGAAAACACTGGTATGTTCCATGACATCAATAATAAAGATGTTTTTAAAGATTGGTCCTTATGGCAAGAGAAGTAAAAGAAAAATTAAATAACTGAAGCTATCTCAAATTAAAAAGCTTTTATAGAGAGAAAGTATAAATACTTTAAAAAGACATCTTAGTGAATGGAGAAAATATTTACATAGTACACAACCGACACAGGGTTAGTAACCAAGATATACAAAAAAGATACAATTCAATAATAAAAAACAAACAATTAATAAGTGGGCAGCAGATCTGGGCCAAAGAGAATCTCCTGAAAGCCAACATATACATGGAAAAATGTCCATCGTCACTTCCAATGAGAGATGCAGGTTAAAACTACCATGAGACATCATGTCACGTTCGTGAGAACAGCACATATTAAAGGGAAAAAAACCCAAACAACCGCAAGTGTTGGGGAGGATGCAGAGAAAGAGGAACCCTATTCCACTGTTGATGGGGATGTGAACTGGTGGGAAAAGTGATCTGGATTTATCTCAAAAGCTGGAAATACTGTATGGCCCAACATCCCACTCTCTGCGGGAGACATCTAAGGCCAAACTCCTGGGCTCCTCTCTCTACTCCCGGGCGCTGTCTCCCCCAGCGGGCTCTGTACTCCCCAAGGCATGAAATAGACATCACTTTAGAGTTATAAAGAACTTAGTTGTACTTAGGACTTCTAGTAGCATCTTACATGGAGCACTGCTCTGTGCTGTGATGTGGAGACATCCGGGTCCCTGCCCTGCTGCCTTCTTTTCTGGGGAACACGGCCCTTCCTAGTGGAACGACTCCATTACATCCATCACCCTGTCTTCCTGGCCGCTGACAAGTGTTGACTGGACACTTGGGACTCATTCATGTGTAAGCTGTTGGGCACTCTACGATTGTGTGTCTGACTCAAGATAGCGAGCTGAGTCCATCATGTTTCTCCCTTGGAAATCAGGAATTAAGAAACTGAAAGATGGAGGCAGTTTGCAGCAGGGGCTGAAGACAGAAGGGTGTGGAAGAAGTTGACCCTCGTAGAGGAAACTGTGGTGAGTGCAGAGGACCACGCTGTGGGGGAGGATGAGGAGTGGGAATGGAAACATATGGTTGGGCAAGATGGCAGCCCATAGGGTGGAAAATGGAGCAGATGTGGAGAGGAAGGAGGAAGTACCTCATGAGGAGTAGCTCTGGGGTGTCAGGGCAGTCCTAGCCCCCGTGAGACCCATTCCTATCTGTGTCTCCTGAAATCTCCATTGGATTTTTAGAACAAACCCCACGTTGCTTGTACTAACTTAATGGGAATGTCTCCCCAGCTTACAAATGGGCCTGATTGGACCAGATCGCCCAAGCTTTTGGGGAAAGACTCCCAACATCACAGCACAGAGCAGTGTTCTGGGTAAAGTATAACAAGAAGACATAAGGGACAGCTAAGTTGTTTATGACTCTAAGAAGATGTCTATTTCCTGCCCAGGGAGTGCAGCGCCCCCTGGGGGAGACAGCCACCTGGGAGTGGAGGTGTTTGGCCCCAAGGTCTTCTGCAGGGATGTCTAGCCAAAGAAGAGTGAACACCATCCTGTTGGCCAGATTATTTTAATAGAGGTTACTCTTTGTATCATTTTCCCTCCACTGTCTCCGCACTGTGATAGATTGAACAATTGGCCCCAATTACCTGTGAGCATGTAGTTGAGTTTTTGTCACTAAAATGTGGGCAGGAAAGGTAAGTGCTTCTTGGGGCTGAAGAGTAAGAGAGAGGAGTCACTTCTCACCTTCCCCTTCCGGCCAGCTGCAGTCTGGGTGATGCAAACAGGCACAGCAAGCTAGGATGCTGCATAACTTGCTCATCCTCAATCTTCGTGTTACTCATCTACAAGAGCTGGTACCAGAATGCATATCAGAGGCGGCACTAAACACATTGCTTAGGTCAGCGGACATGCTTTTCCATGATAAGATATTCTTGAAGGAAGCAGTGTATTGATTTGCATACTGGCACAAGCTCCTCATCTGCTCGAGGAACTGCTTGGAGGACCAGCACAACATGGAACCATAGAGGACCGAGAATGACGTGCAATGAACACAGGTTCCTGAGCATCCATGTGGAGCTGAGCTGCCTGGCAAAACAGAACACTGACCCAGGACTATACCACAACAGAGAAACACCTCTCCTTTGGATGTGTTGTTGCACTGTGAGATCTCTTGCTTGTAGGAATTTAGCTTCCCCCTAAGTCATGGAAATTGATCATCTGTATCTGGCAGGGCCAGATTCTAAATGGGAGATGAGAGGTTACACAGCCAGGGTCCGCTGAGGCTCATCAATAAGGGCTGAATCAGACATACAATGGCTTCTTTCTTTAACTGGTAAAAATTCATTGTCTTCTCTGGTTAGGGGACTGGACGGAGGCTCCTGTCAGAACAATGCTTCTATCACATCCGCTGAGCCCCTTCTCTAGGCATAGGACTGGGCCAGGCACACTGAAGGCAGCCCCAACAAAGACAAGCACCACCATATTGAGCGCTAAGGCAAGTCACACAGCCAAGCTCAAGGCTGGGTGCAGAATACCTATGGGCTGGGGTGCTTAGAGCAAGAGTTGAGGTGAATGGAGATGCTGGCCTGTGATTGCAACAAGAAACAGTGGTGGCCTGAATTAGCAGATGACTTGCACTCTCTATAGAATTATTCTTACATTATATGTATTTACAATCATTTCTCCTTGGTCTCGTGGGAGAAAAACTTTATTTAATATTCTAAAGTAATTTGAAAACTAAGGGCATAGGACATTTTTCTACAAGTTGATCTAAGAAGAGCTTCATGTTCTTGTAAAGATCCAGAGTTGTAGAAGGCATTTTAACTGACCAATTTGTAGGTTGTTGGTTCATTCATCAAATCTTACTGCACTCCACCAGAGTCTCAGCAAACACACAGAGGAATAGCACCAAGTCTACGTGTCCAGGCAAGCTCAAGGGGCCAAGTCTAGGATACACGCCTGACAGTGGAACACCTGCTTACTGATGGGGCCGGGGATTGAATGCAGAGAACTGGGAACCCAGGAGGGAAGGTGTCCAGGCCAGCCATGGACTTTTTCCTCTTAATTTTCACTTGGCTTTCTCCCCCAAGACAGTATGATCATATTTCCCTGAGTACTAATAGTGATCCTGAACTTAGCATTAAAAAAATCTTATAGCCAGACACATGCATGGAAATTCTCTTCCAAGCCCAAGAACAGTCAATCATGCTCTGTGCCCATGGAGTCAACGAAGAACAGCACAAATGTATAGAATCACCAGCTATCCAGAGAAAATTGTGCCACTTCAACATCTTTAATATCCACACCAGCGTTGCCATGGAACAGCAGGGACCCACCAGGAAACAATTTGCCAGCACGTGGTGAGGACTAGGCCCGCAGGAACACACAAACACACCCCCAGCTCTGGCAGCTGAATGCGGGCAACAGCTTCCTACCAGCTTCTATTTATTGTTGCTCTGCCACCGTGCCCGTCCCCTTTGCTTGAGAATCTGGAGACTTGGCCCAGTGGCCATTCCTTATGCCTGAGAACCTCAGGAACAGAGAAAGGCTGAACGACTCTAGAGAGGTGTGTAAGCAGTTTGGAGACACTTTGAACTTTCTGGTAGACACAAGACTAGGGAAATTGGCATAGAAACAGCTTCTCCATCTATTACATGGAAGCAATGTGAAAAGGAAGCTTGCGAAAAGGACCAGGTGTACAATAAACTATTGTTAGCTCTGTTCACAGAGAATATCCTTCCTGCTTAGTCCTCCTGCTCACCACACAGATGGGCACAGGGACCTGTGACCACCGCGTGGGGGGAAGGGATCACTGGCGGTGGTGATGGCAGGGGTCTTGGTGGTGACAGGGGTCTGCTGCAGGAAGGAAAGGAATGGGGGGGTATATGGGCTGGGACCCAGAGGAGGGCCGTGGGGGGTGTGGAGTATATGTGTTGGGGGGGGGTCACAGAACCAGAAGTCCCTCGCTCTTCCATGCCAAATCCCTCCAGCAAAGGCCAACCCAAAGCACCTGTCCACCCCTGTGCCAGAGATCAGGGTAAACGCTCCCTTTTGCAGGACTGGAAAGCAGCAAACAGGGGAGGCAGCCGGTGAGGCTGGGGCAAGAAGTTCCCTCAATTGTCATGTCGCCAAGGCGTGGAGGATCCAGGATCTGAATTAATCTAATGCCGGAGGCGAACAGGACGAGGAGGGAAAGAGACAGGGCGAAGGAACACAGCCTTTGCACCCCCCGGCGGGGAGACGGATGATTTTCCCGGCCAGTTATCCCAGAACTCGGGCTCGCTATAGGGAGACGTCAGAGCGCCCGGGTCCCCGGTGCAAAAGCCCCCCAGCCCCCCCGCCGGGGCTCCCATATAAAGTCGGGGCCCGAGGAGGCTGCGGCAGCGGCGCGCGCGGCGGCGGCGAAGCTCCTGCGCGGTCGGGTCCCGGCGGCTCCCCGGGCAGAGCGCACTCCCCGCCCGGCTCCCGCCCGGACCATGCGCGGCCGCGCGCTCCGGCTGGTGCTGCTGGCGCTGGTGCTCGGCCAGGCGCCGCGGGGCCCCGCCGCCCCGGTGCCGGGGAACGGAGGGACCGTGCTGGCCAAGATGTACCCGCGCGGCAACCACTGGGCGGTGGGTGAGTGTCCGGCGCGCCCGGGGCGCGCGGCTTCCCGGACCCCCGCGTCTCCGCGGTCCGGCCCGGGGCGCTGGGATGGCTCCAGCCCTGCCGCCCGGACCACCCGGTGCCCCGAAAACTCCGCCCCGCGCTTCCCGGTCCCGGGAGCCGTCGCCCCCTCGGGGGTTTGGGGGGACTGGCCCCTCAGCTCGCCCCGGTTCCCGTCACTCTCGCCCCGGGGCGCCCGCCCGGCCCCCGGAGGAGCGCCCCGCTCCCTCCCCGCGCGCGCTCTTTTCCTGCCCCGAGTCAACCCGTGCGGCCCGGTTCTCTCCCGGGACAACTTTGGGGAGCCGGGGTGGTCCCGAGCGCGCCTCGGCCCCTGGCCCCGCCCGGAGGCCTTCGCGCCAACCCCAGCGCGCCCGGGCTGAGCCGCTGCGCCCCGGAAAGCCACAGGTGTGGGGCCCCGCGGGGCTCCCGCGCTGGGCTCTGCGGCGCGCCCGGCGGGGCTCGGTGCTTCTCTCGCCTTGGCGGCGGCCTCCTTTCCTGCCCGCCGCCCGCCGCCTCTCTTCCCACGCGGCCGGACGCTCGGGAACCTCGCCTGCTCCCCAAGCCGTCCCGCGGCTCCCCACGCCCCTGGGCGCCCGCTCTTCCTCCCCCTCCCCAGCCCGACCTCGCCCCTCCCGCAGCTCCTCTTCGCGCCCCGCGGCCGACGCGCGCCCTCCCCGGGCAGGGGCTTGGGGGCGCGACTCTCCGGGAGCGGCGCGTTGGGGAGGCCCCCGCGGGGTGCGGGGAGACCCAGCAAGCCACGCAGGGGGCCGCCCCGCCGCCTCGCGCTCCCCCAGCGTCACCCGGGAGCTCCGGCTGTGCCAAGCTCAGCCGCTGGCAAATGCGGAGCGCCCGACTTCCTCGCGCCCAGCCCTCCCGCTGCACGCGGCTAGATCGGTAAAGAGATTTAAGGGGGTGTGTGTGTGTGTGTGTGTGTGTGTGTGTGTGTGTGTGTGTGTGTGTGTGTGTGTGTGTGTGTGTGTGTGTGTGTGTGTGTCCTTAGACGTGATGGGGCTCAGACAGGAACCGTCACATCTTCAGCTCCGTGTGTTGTGCTTTTCTCAGAGAATCCAGGACCCAGGGGTGTTACTGAAAAAAAAAAAATTGTCAGGTCTTGGCAGCACCTGGGATGAAAGTATTTGTATTTGTGATCTCTGAGGGGGCTACAGAGGGAGAGGTTGGATGGTAAAGATGAAACAGCCTCTTCCCCACCCCATCACCCCCACTTCCTTCACTTTATTTTTTTGTGGGACCCTCGCAGGTGGCAGGGATCGAACTGGCGCTGCAGAGGCTGCGAGCAGCCTCTCAACCCAGCACTCAACCACTGAGCCACCAGCGGAGGCCCAGCTTCCCTCACTTTAAAAGAGAAAGCTAGAGTGGAGGCTTCCTAGGGCTTCTGGGAGCTCAGAGCAAGTGGCCATTGTCCCATCCAGCCACCAGCCAGTGGCCCCGGAGGATGGAGCAGGACTCCAGATTTCCAGCCTATCACCTCGGGCCCATTTTTGTACTCAAAAGGTTTAGTACAAAACCAGTTGCAGGCCAAGGGGGAGACAAGAGCAGTAGCTGGGAGTGATGCAAGCCAACCCTGGCTGCTGTGTCCCCAGCACCTCTGTCCCAGATGTTTAGAGCGTCCACATACAGTCACTCCTCCCCGAGTGTTTGGGCATTCCTAACCCCTGAGGACACTGATCAGCCTCGAATGTTCTCACTTCCCTCCTGTTCTCAACCACACTCTTGTTCCTTTTCTTCTCTTGGCTGACTGGGCAGTTGATGAAGAACAGGGGACAGAGGGAGGTGAGGTCGAAAACCACATTGGATCTGAGAGAATGTTGTAGTTGTGAAAAAGTGTGCTTTGGGTACAGGCCCTCTGTTGGAATGTGAACCTTCGCAAGCTTGAAAGGTGGTGTTAGATTTTAAATTTGACTTTCCACTATTGGAAGTAAATGGCTGTCCTCCCAACTACGGAAGCCATACAGTCTAGTTTTCATTAGACGAAACTAAAACTACCTGTTGGTGTCCATGAGGGAGTAGTCAGCACTCATCTGCAGGTTTGTTAAGTGGTTTCACCCACTGGATGAAGCTGGTGCAAATGTTTGGTTTGTGCCATGAAAATACATCAACACCGGCCATAACACAAGCCTAAGAAATGCGGGCGCTGTGAGGAGAACCTGCAGACATCAACTCTGAATTAGCTAGTGCTCAGGTCAGAAAGGGTTTCTGTTTCGTGCTTCTCCAGAAACTGAAACACAGTTTAAATATCACTCCAGAAAAACTAGTTCTTAGAAGTAGTCACCACTTTATGTCTTTATGTCTTTCCTCAGTTACAGTAATTTTCAAGTTTTCAGCTCAAGGATATGCAGTTTTTTCAAACCTGCCAGTTTTAGTGGGATTTTGAAGTTGTTAAAAAGGACAAAAGCTTTCTTCCCTCTGGGCAAGGTTTTATTTTTTTTTCAAGTGCTTGCTTTTGTCTATGCTGAGCTCTCCATGCTTAGGACATGGTCACATAATAAGTGATGATGGGAGAAGAGGTGCAAGTGGGCATAGTAGCCACGTTGCCATGGAGATAGGTATTTCGTTGACAGTAGCCAATGGCAAAGTGAAATAGGACTTAGGGTAACTGAGCTTCCCTGGGATGCCAGAGATGGCCCACTTTCTTTAATACCAGTCTGTGGATCTGGGGGTGGAAATCTGAACACTACCCACCCACCCACTAGGCAAATACTGAAATTCAGTACAATGTCATAAGGATCTGTGTTAAATCATGGCATAAAGGACTACTTTACCTTCCCACTTCAGGAAAAAAAAAATCACAAAAGTATTCAGGCATGAGAAAAATGAAGTTATTTATAAAAAAATCCTAATTGCTCCCCCCCACCCCCCACCCCCGTTTCTTTCTCACAACCCCTTTCTCATTCCCAGCGTCCTAACCAGATGGTGGCCAATTAAGGAGGGCAAAAGTGACTGAGGTCATTGTAGGGAGCATCAGATTCTAATCCTGCTTTCCCATCATCATGATTCAATTTCCTCCATATGAATACAGCCAAATGCTTCGCGTCTTCCTGGGAAGCTGTGCAACCTAATCAGTCTTATGGCTAAATGCAAGGTTATTTAGTGGATATCCGGGCACCGAGTTGACCAGGCAGATAAGTGGGGAGTCCCATCACTCAGGATTCAAACCTTAGTTGGTTCAGAGGCCTCAATAGAGTCTTGATAGTTGAAGCGTCATGTCATAAGTGACTTGCAAGTGCTCACAGCAAGGCGGTAAGACCTCGTTTTTACTCTCCCCAATACTCACAGGCCTCATTTTTCTAGGTCACATAATGTGTCATGATATACTGACACATGATCTATCTTTATTTATATATTAGAGAGCCTTTTGTAGTCTTTACTGCTCCTTATTTCCAGAACCAGAATGATTTCTGACTGTCCTATTGTCCTAGGATGATGAGACTCGTCAAAGCAGTGCAACATTGTAGAGTCTGGACAATGAGCTGATGTTAATCCTAGAATCTTTGCTCACATGTCTGTGACCTTTGGCAAATCTCATTTTCATCAAACTGGTTACAGTGCAGATCAAATGAAATAATCCACATCTAAACAAACTATAGACTATACATTACAATACACATCCAGTAATAAAGTCACAATGAGGGAAAGAGCTGCTGGGATGGGGCTGTTTTAAGTGACAAAAGGCCCATCAACTATTATTCCCTATTATTTGTACAAGTATTTAACATTTGACTTCAATACTTATAATGTCAGTCAACGTTAGAATCACAAAGAGCTCTTCCCTGGTGAGCTTTAAATCAAAAGCACCATGGTTTTATTTATATGAGAAACACGAAAGTGCTAAAAGATCCGTGACAGATGTGGGAGAAATCAGCTAAAGAAAATAAATACGATCATGTGAATAGACTAACTCACTGCTGTGAATGTGGACTTTGAATTCTCATGCCAGAACAATCCCCACTTAGACACATGAATGTCCTTCACTTTAGTCAAGGCTTCCTGCATTGCAGCTTTTGCTTACAAGTGCAGGTGTTACAGGTGGTAGGTGTTACAGGTGGCAAGTGTTACAGGTGGCAGGTGTTACAGGTGGCAAGTGTTACAGGTGGCAGGTGTTACAGGTGGCAGGGCCACCTCCTGGAGCCATCTAGAGACTTCCCATGATGCTTTTCGACATCCAAGAGATTGTTCTGCACTTTTGTGGCTGAGAAATGTTGGTCAGAACTTGTTTTCAACTAAATGCTAACCAAACTGTAGTTTCTAGGTGACATTTCCTTGACTTGATCACAACTAAAACTCTGAGAAAGTTTAAATAATAATTTCCTTTGATACATTTGTATTACCTTAAGAAGAAAGAGAGGAAAGCAGTACTTCTTTTTTAATCACACAAAGAAAGCATCATCACTTTTCTGTTCAGTAGCAATTCACAATTGACTGGGGAGGTTAACTCCACCATTCAGTTGGGAATAGAATTCAGTGCACACAGAATTGGTGATAGAATTTTAGATAAGGAAGATTCGTTTGATTTCATCTAGTACAACCGTTCTTTTTATAGTTGATAAAAGTGAAGACTAGGGATGATAAATGTCTTGGCAGAGGTCCCCTGGCTAGTTAATTGAGGTGCTTCCACTCCTGAGTCACATTCTTAATTTCCTCCAACTCATTGCACATTTTAACCAGGGAGTAAAATCTAACAGTATGTATCAACTAGCTCCTAATAATAAAATGCTAAATATTCTGCATTTAAGAGCAAATAGCATAAACATAATGGGTGTCCTTTTTCATTTCTCAGTCATTCATTCCCCTGATTTAAATCTGAGTCACTCTGTTTTCTTTCTTTTTTTTTTTTATAGGGCACTTAATGGGGAAAAAGAGCACAGGAGAGTCCTCATATATTTATGAGGGAGGGAATCTGAAGCAGCAGCCACATGAGTACGTGAGCTGGGAAGAAGCCACAAGAAATTTGCTCCACTTCTTGGAAGCCAAGGGAACCAGAAGCCATCGGTCACTTCACTGGGAACCCCTGGGCAGTCACCAGACTACTTGGGATTCAGAGGATAACAGGACCGTCAAAGATGTGAGTTCAAAACACAAAGGTATAAGAACAGACTGGAGGAGCTGGGGATGGAGGTGTTTGGGGAGAGTTGGAATGAGGGGCCATTTGAGCAGAAAGAATAAAATTGTCTTGGATGTGAGCTTTCGCCCCTCTGCATTAGGCTGACACTAACACACTCAGAAAATGACTAGACAGTTCCCATGCTGCCCTTTCTTTGGACATAAAACATTGTTCTTCCTCTCAGCATATCCAAAGGTTGCAAACTCCACTCTAGGAATATTGAGAATTGTATTAGCAATTGTGCATTGATGGCATTTTTAAAATCTACCGGAATATTTTGATAGTGAGGCCATAGATTATTTGAGCGAAGCTTGTGGGTCTACAGATGTTTCTTTCAGATATTTTTAGAGGAGAGAATTCTTGTTTGCCACCCGTCACGCAAAACATCTTAAGTTTGTTCCAAGATTACCTAGTTCAGCTCGCATCCAAATATTACAAAACTTGGCAAACACACCGAGTCAACTGGTGCATGCCTGTGTGTAATTCTGTAGAGGACAGGGAAGAGAGTCCTACCAAATGGCATCATTTGGCTACAGGAAGTAGGAGAGAATAAACCTTCGAAGAAGAAAGCAAGGGAACTGAAAACGAAGTGATTCTCATTAACTTCTACTTCCATGAAATTTATGAAAAAAGGTAAAAAAAATAATTAGGGCACTGTAATCATCATAATAACTAGTTTTACTGAGTTTCTACTGTGAGTACTAGCTGAAGAGATTTACCTTCATTTTTCTCAGTTAATGCCCATAGTTGTCTTAGGAGGAAGATTCTAATATTCTCTCCATTTTAGAGGTGAGCAAGCAGATGTAGCCAGGGCAGGATCCTGGGACCTTGGGCAGTCTCCTGCTATTGGGGACATCATTTGGGGTAGGGACATCCTCATTGATCTGAAATATGAAGGATGCAGGACAAGTAGCAGCCTTGCTTCTGGCTGTTTCCAATAGTAAATGCAATGTTCTCCACTCTCAGAGCTGGGGCTCCCTCATCCCTCTCTCATGGCAGTTCCTCTGGGCGATGACCCTGCTCACAGAGGCCTGGTGGGCTTTTGCCACACTCTGAGGGACACTTTCGGTCTCACTGCCCTTTGTTCTTCTGTGCATTCTCTGTGCTAAATGCAGATTAAAAGTTCATGTTATATTCAGCATCTAGACTCTGGTTACCTTTATTCAGAAAAGGAAATCTGGGTTAAATGAAGTAGTACAGAATTAAGTATGGATTTTGTACAATACCCAGGCAGAGTCTCTTGTCCATACCTGTATCACAGGTGTTGTGTGACCAGCTCCCTTCTTTGTGGGTGGATGACACAGCCCTGAGGGGATCTTTGAGTGTGCGATTATTTTCTCAGCTGCTGGCTGGCCAGGTCTTTTCTTGGCTAAGTGCTTTGCTGGACTTTTTGTGGGTAGATGTTCAACAGCAGAATCTTCTCATTGAAAAATAATGGTCTCTATCTCAAACCCTCCAAAACAATTTTACAAACATCGAAATGCACTTAACCTCATATCTCATTCATAACCCCCCAACCATGTGGTTTAACCTATAAAACCTCATTTTTAAAAGTCTCCACTTTGAACTCCTTTATTCCCTCTAACCTGGCTTTTGGAATGTTTTTGAAAAATTCAACTCCTTCCTCAAGGATTGAAAATTTTCCAACATGTTCAGAGGAGTATTTTGTAAACTTCTAAGGCAGTTACAAAGGAATAGCTCCTCAAGTTTCTGGGAGGCAAGAGGATAGGACGGCTTCAAAGGGATGGCTTCAAAAGAATACGATATTAACAGTATTCTGTGGCAGCTGAAAAAATCATCTTTGTAGAATCAGATCTTGCTTTTCTGCTAGATGTATTTATGCTTTGTTCTTTCTTTTACAAGTTTAGAAAGCTCATCCCATTTCTTTCCTCAAGCTAAATAATTAACGATCACACACATCAGCCCTGTTCTTTTGAATATATTTCCCAGTCATATAAAAAGTCAATCTTAGCTTAGTCTTTGCATAGTCCCACACAATCAATCATTCCTCTTGCTCTGGAAATTCCGCCTTGAATAGAAAACATCTTACAATTCTCTTATTCAAGAAGAGGGTGTACGAGGAGAAGAGTTTTATTAGAAATCCAGATCTCTCTGAGTGCTGGAAAGATGTTTAATAACTTAGCCGAGCTTTGCTAGAATTAGCCGCGGGAATTATCAGAGGCTGAGGACTTTTCTTAAAATTGAAACTATCCCCTATGCGCTCCTCTCCCATTTCAGTAATAAAACATCAAGTCCTGTTGTCATCCCTCCCAGAGCTGTAGCTAGAAACTCAGCTTCTTCCTAATTTTAATGACAAAGATATTTACTTAATTCAGAAAAGATTTGTGTGGATGCGCACTGAATCAAAACTGTTCTATCAGGGCAAACAAGGTCCAGACCTTAATTAGCAATTATGGCCAGTAACTGTCAAGGCTAATCTTTCTTTGAACTGGCGCCTTCTCACCCAAAACAAACAGACAAACAAACAAACGAAAAACCTAATGACCTTTAGTCCCTGGTTTCTATAGCACAGCCATGCTCAGCTCAGCCCTGGGGCCTAATCCATAATCTTGGGTATAGTTATAGATTGTTTTGAGTTTTGGTGAAGGTTGACGCTGGCCTTTGGGTGCCATTTGCAATTGGACCCAGTCTATTTCTTCTATTCCTTATACCCATAGGATTTTTCCCCTTCTCTTATTTGGTGGACATGAACGAGACATCTGGAGCACCATAGAGGGTGTTATGGAAAGGAAAGAAATGTGCAAACTTGTTCTCATTTCTAAGGGACTATCTCACCAGAGAATAGAAAGGTTTGATTCTTAATATTTTAAATGTTCCAAAGGAAGCTCCAAATATAGAAAAAGTTGACTCAAGAATAGCTCAAGAATCCTCTGATAAACCAGACAGTTTCTAGGAAGGAGCTGAATGAAGCAGGTTAAACTTCAAACACAGCTTCTCCACCCCCATTAAGACCCCTCTCTTGCTTCCCAGTCCTTGACCTTACCTGGGATACACACTCTTCTTTCCATTGTAGCTTTACTTCCATTCCTCTGAGTTAAACTCATATTCAACCGTTTGAGCCAATGAGGGCACATGGATGGCTCCTTTCCTGCATCCTCAGCATGCCCCTTTCCCAACTGTGGGCCAGTGGCTTTACTGTAGGGTGGAGAGCAGTGTCTTTGCACAGACTGGCGATCTCCTGGAAGAAGCCAAAGCTAATTGGTCTGTGTGGGACTTGAACCTACCCCCTACCCCACTCTGGCCTCATTAGCACCTGGTCAAAGCAGTTGAGCCACAGAGCAGGTAATAACCAGTCTGAGCATATCAGCAATTCCCTTATTAAAAACAAATGGTTGGTCTGGACATTGGGGGATCTGAATTGCCAGAGAATCTTGGAAAGAGTAATAAGCTCTGGTCTGGATGAAAAGTGTTTTTTCATCTCAGCTGGTAAAGGGTGCTATAAAAGAGAACAAAGAAATATTTTAAAATTACCACAGCTCATTCTTTCTTCCGTCTTAGTTAATTTGAACAGAAGCCATGATTAGCAAACCACAATAAATTTAGAATTGGCAGAAACCCAAATTAAGTCCTCTCCCCAAGTTGCCCACATTACTACACTCACAGTCGTGGGCTTATAATGCATAATTGTATAATCACAAACAAGCCTTATTTGTGTCATGAGGCATGGCCAGAGCAGGCAAGTATAAGAATTAAAATTCCACATTTCCTAATTGTCCCCATACCCAGCTGCCACTTTAGTAACAAATTCTTAGGGATAATACATTTCATTTTCAGTATAGATCCAGATATACCTAAGGGGTCACATCAGGGTACAAGTTAAGTTCCTATAACAAAAAGACCCCAAAATGATGTGGCTCAAAAAAAAGCAGAGGAAGTTCATTTTGCTCTGAAGGGGCAGCAGTGCTTCTCAAATAATCATATGCCCAGAATCATCTGGAAAATGTGTGAAAGCTCAGATCACTGTGTCCTGCCCCAAAGGCCTGGAGGAGAGGTAGGAAGTTGCTTTTCCAAGAAGCTCTCACGTGAAGCAGGTGCTTTGTTGGGATTGGGGCTGGATTCTAGTTTAGCCTTTGGCATCATTAACTTTGTTTACCTCTTTCTAAACACTTTTTAAGTTGGTGGACTCTCCTCCAGGCTCTCCATCTGAAGCAAGGAAGCCCCAGTTGAACTGACAATGGCTGCCTCTCTCGAAGAAGCAAAATAAAACCCCTAAGAGACTGCATTCTACAGGCATCGATTCCACTGGACCGCCACCAAGATTTCCTTTGTGCAAAATACTTAACTATTCTTGTATCTTTCAACCTTGACTAAATTTATGATTTTCAAGCAATGTCTTCTGGTTCGAACTTGTTTGCTGTGAATACTTGTCCAAAAAGTCTTCCAATTCAATGCTTTTTACAGCTAGGCTATTTGTCAATTCGATTTCCATCCCCGAACTGTGACCAATCACAATAAAAGCTTAAATGCATTGTCCAAAGGCAGGTAGTTCTCTTATTGCGATACCAAATGGAGGACAAATAGCAGAGGTTAACAGCTGCATGATCGTTGTGCTCATTGAAGAAGGCAGGCTGAGTTCTTAGCTGTCCCTTCTGAAGGCCACTTACTGAATCCTTATACCGACTTACAGCCTTTCGAGTGGCTACTCCCAGGAGCTGGCGCACCCTTATCATTGCCAGCAGGTGAGCTAGGCTGATGGCAGAGGCTGGTCTTATTCATCACTTTATAATTCCCATTTCTTTAGTCTTGAATTTGACCAGGTATTTTGCCGATAGTATTGACCTTCTCCTCATAACAGTTTTATAAAGCTGAGAATGCTCATTCTCATTTAATAGATGAGGAGATAGAAGGTTAGAGGAGGCTGGGGAATCTGCCCAAAGTCACGTGGTAGATGGAAATGGGATTCAAACATCAAAAGTCTGGCCTCCCTGGTGGCACAGGGGTTAAAGACAGCACTAGCAAGCTATCGCCAGCATCTGCAGCAGGAGTTCCATCCCCCGCTGGCCAGGGAGCTACCCACATGGCACAGCAGACCTCTCCTGCCTCACCCGCTGCTCCCCTCAGCAGTGTACTTCAGTCAATCTGCCTGTTCTGCTCCCCACTCTGTCTCCGGTGAATCCTCTCACCCTGCCCCCCATACCTCTGGCTTACAACCCAGTTCTTGTATACATAAATAAATAAATCTTAAAAAAAAAAACAAACATCAAAAGTCACCAGATTGTCTGTCGCATTCCCTCATTTTAATCTCCCTTTCAGTACACTGAAGCCTGGCAACTTGCTCTGTTTCTTCGAAATTTCATTGCCAGTCTGGGAGAAGTAGGTCGGGAGAAGTAGTCTGCACCACCAGATTTCCTCAGCTCCCCGCACAAGCAAGAGACGAGTTCAAGAGATTCCCTTACACTTTCAGAGAACATGGTCTGGTGATTCGTAACACTCACCAGTTCCATTTTTATCATGACATTCACACATTAACAGATTTTTAAAGTTTCTTGCCATATGTTTAGATTTCCTTCATTTATGGAAATCACATTTGAACAGTAAAGAGATTTATCTTGCTCTTGTTTTGATTGTCAGAGGATCATGTAAGATGTCATGCATTCTCTTTAATTTCTTTTAAAGTCATGTTGGTTCACACCAAGCCAAGGGGAAACATATGAGATATGTCCTCCTCCTCTTGCATCTTCTCTTCTTGGGAACCCCCAGTGCCTCTTTCCCACAAACGTGATGCTGAGCTCCAGTAGGACACTCAAAGATGAAAACAGCCTTCTGCACCCTGTGGAATCTCTCTGTGGTGACATTCTAGGCACTGAGAAAAGGCAGTGCTTCTACAGTAACCCCACCTAGCCTGCCAATTGCTTGGCTTGTCCTGAGAGTAGATGTGATCCTGTGTTTCAGTTGCAATCAATTTTTTCTCATATGGTCTGAACAGTGCATGCAAATCTTCTGACTCAGGAGGGTTCCTTGATACCAAGCCCAGACCAAGATTACTATCCCCCTATTTAAGAGACATGCTTTCTCCTACAAGGAGCACTTTCTTAAACCTGTTTGCAAGTGGAGTCCATCACCTGCCTGTGTGCACTTAGTGGGTCAGGTAAGTTTTAGCTTCAGAGACAGGATCTATCTTGGGTAGTTTAAGCAGAAAAGGATAGTAGGAAAGGAAGACCAGAGAAATGAGCCCAGGCTGAACTTGCAGGTTCAATGCTCAAAGCTGGGCCTCAGATTGGTTTGCTAGATGGCCACCGCCTTCATACCGCTGCATTGCTACTTCTAAGCATTCTGCACAATGGCCTGAATTGGCACTCTCTTCCAATGCCTCCACCGCTCTCTCTGCTGCAGCATTGTGCTCCCTTCCACCTCCCCTTGCAAATCAGTTTTGAATGTTGTCTGATGGGTGGGCCCTAGGTCATGTGTCTAACTTGTTGTGAGGACAACTGGGAAATGTAGTTTTTAAGATCCTACATGGAGACTATGAACTAAAATTGTGGGATCCAATTATAAGGAAAATAGGGTGTTAAAATATATGGTCAGCCACAGATAAAGATGTCCTTGTTATCTTTTACTTGAACAGAATCCTTCTTTTTTTTTAAGATTTATTTATTTTATATAAGAGCCGGGGTACAGGCCAGATGCGCGGGAGGGTGATAGGATTCACCAGACAGAGTGGGGAACAGAACAGGCAGACTGATGAAATACACTGCTAAGGGGAGCAGCAGGCATGACAGGAGAGGTCTGTCATGCCATGTGGGCCTCTCGCCGCTGGCTGGGGCCAGGATCAAAGCGGCACTGCAGAGGCTGTGGACAGCTTCACAGCACAGCGCTCAACCACCTGTGCCACCAGGGGAGGCCTTTGAACAGAATCCTTCTTTTGATTGCTGCTCATTCCTATTCTAGAGAAGAGTTACTACCCAGCTCAGGGTTTGGGGAAAGAGCCTGGTGGCTGTTCTCTACAGCACACAGGTGAGGATGTGCACACAGCAGGAAGACAAGATTGCTTTCAATAGGGGGCATTTTCCAGAGGTGCTTGCAACAAAGCAGGCTAATCAGGAATCCAAATGGGAAGGAAGCAGTCATTGCCTTCAAATTTGTTCCTTTAAAAACTGTCTCTCTCTCTCTCTCTTTTTAAGTGCTACAGGGTGGACTGCTCTGGGTAATTTGGCAGTCTTCACGTACAATCAAAGGTTCAGTAACACACTAAACAGGCATTTCAAGTAGTGCAGTACAATTTCTGGCCCCACAACACCCACCTTTCAGTTCCTACTGGGGTTATTTGATCATTGTAGAGCATTTTAACCTAGCTTGGATGTGTAGGGAGCAATCTAAGTGAAATGTGGAATTTGTATTATTCATTTCCTCAATCACAGTCTGCTTTAATCAGAAACCGAAATAGCCCTTCGAGGCAAACCCACAATGAACTATTGCCAGTTACCAAACAGAAGGAACAGGGCATCTCATGGACTGAAAAGCCTCCTCATATCCTCTCTTGGGGCTTCTATCTTCCAATTAATCACCTCCTTAAGTTGACCCAGAAAAAACAATAGGCCTCTAGTGATCCCTGATTTTCTTTCCACTGTACAGTGGACCCTTGAACAACATGGTTTTGAAATCCTTCGGTTTATATTTATAAACCCACATTCGTCAGGACACCAATAAATACATTATAGTTACTTTTATATATAAAAGGTATGTTTATATATATGTATATACAAACCCACACATATATGTATATATACAAACCCACATAGATATGTATATGTATGTATAAACCCAGCATTAGTTAGGGTACCAACACATATATTGCAGTACTGTTAATGCATCTTCTCTTTCTTATGATTTTCTTCATAACATTTTCTTCCCTCTGGCCTACTTTATTGTAAGAATAATATATAATATATAATATATATTATATATAATTATAATATATAATAATATATATTATATATAATATATAATAATATATATAACACACATGAAAGCATCAATTAAGAATTATGCGTAAGGATCGACAACAGGCTACAGGGAGAGTTCAAAGTGACACCTGGATTTTCAAATGTTAGAATCAGCACCCTAATGCCAAGGTGCGCTTGGCTCACACACTGTGCATAACACACAGCCTGACTGACAGAGAGAGGTAGCTCCAACCACAGGTGGACTGACAGCCTCGGGAGAGAACCAGGTGCTTATGGTCCTATTGTGACACTAGAATCACCGCCAGCCCCTGCCCCCCAGGGCCCTACCCCACCTTCTCCACCTGTGACTCTCCCAGGTCTGAGGCAGGTCCTGTCTGTTCCCGGGCTCCCGGGGGCAGCAGATGCCACTTTCCCATGCTTCTGCAGGGCACAGAACACGTTCTCTGACATGTGAAGTGCTTTTTGGTTCTCGAGTCTCGTCATCAAATTACTTTGCGCCTACTCCATGACGGCCTGCCTGGTGATATAAAATGGGAGAAAAGGGTTGTGGGAAGAAGGGGGGTGGACACAGAGACTGAGGCTGCTGGGTTCAAAGTCACACGTCCAAAGAGAGCATCATTTTCATCCCTACTCCCTCCTTGAAAAGGCCAGGACTTCCCATGAAGACACAAAGTTTAATTTTTTTTAATATCTTAACATCTTCCTACCCCAATGTCTTTTTTTTTAACTTTTTTAAAAATATTTATTTATTTATGCAAGAACTGGGGTACAGGTCAGAGGTGCGAGAGGGTGAGAGGATTCACCAGAGACAGAGCAGGGAGCAGAACAGGCAGACCGAAGACACCACTGAGGGGAGCAGCAGGTGCGACAGGAGAGGTCTGCTGCGCCATGTGGGCTTCTCACCAGCCGGCTGGGAATTGAACCCGCGGTGCAGAGGCTGCGGACAGTTTCACAGCGCTGCGCTTAACCCGATGCGCCACCGGGGAGGCCCGTGAAGTTTAATTTTTACAGTTACGAGGCTTTGTGAATCAACCGAAGTGAGAGGGTCCAAGTCCCTTTTTCATCTTATTTTTAAACTGGTAAAAACAGAGGCTGTGGCCACGTGAGGAGAAATGTTGACATAACCAGTTCAGCAAAAGCAGGTGGTTCCTCCTGGGCCTTTCCTCCTCCATCTTAACTGCTTACTCTCTTTCATCAATTAACCCAATTAACTGGATCTTTAATTCTCTAAGAGCAGGGGCTGTGCATGCAGCTTCTTTCTGTGTGGTGTCTTCATTTATAAAATGGGAACAGTGAGATTCATTGCTTCTATGTCACAAGCAAGCTAAAATTCATGATCTTTCTAGCTTTACCTTCCCCCAAGAGTGTTATTTGGATTTTTTAGTTCCTATTGTGAGAGATAACTAAATATTAAAATGACACGGTGGGCATGACTATTAAATCATTTATATTTATAAAAATCCACTTTGCCTCCTAAATTATTTCACTCTAGTAGTAATTTTATATGTATTTTTAAATATAAAAATCTACTTTGATGTTAGTTACTTAGTTTGTTATTTACAAATAGGGGATTTCCCCTATTGACTGCACTGGTGATGGTGGACAACCTAGAACTTTCTCCTTTGGGAACATGGGGCCTTGTCAGTTGTATCTACATGTGATGAGAGATTGCACTTGTGTACACCTAACAAAATAAAACAAACATATCCATGACTTAAGGAAGATAGAGATTTAATTTTCCCTCCTGTCATAAGAAGTCTAGGGGCTAGCAGGGCAGGGCCTGTGACGTGGTTAAAGGATTCAGAGACAAGATCTTTGTGATTTCCATTCATGATGGGTCACAAAATGGCTGCTGAGATCAAGCCAATGCACTCCAACTCCAATCAGGAAATAAAGGCCAACAGCAAAGATGGGGCCTAGCTATATCATGAAGGCAAAGCTTTCTCAGAAACTTCACTTTTCTCTTTTGGTTAGAACTGTGTCACGGTTCCAGCAACAAAGGAGGCTGAGGAATGTAGTTTTATGGCTGGGAGCTTGCTACCACCTCCCTTCCCTTCACCTTCCCAACCCACATATTGTGCAACCATCCCAGGCAGGGTAGGTTCATTGTCAATTCTTGCAGACAAAAAGAGAATTTTGGCACCCTCGATATCATTTTGCAGGCCTTTAATGCTGAATGAGGACACAGACCAGAGACCTCCCAGTTGGCGCGTGGGTTAATCTCAGCACTATGAAGCCATCAATAGCCACTA